TCCTTCCTTCCTTCCTTCCTTCCTTCCTTTCTTTCTTTCTTTCTTTCTTTCTTTCTTTCTTTCTTTCTTTCTTTCTTTCTTTCTTTCTTTCTTTCTTTCCTTCTTTCCTTCTTTCCTTCTTTCCTTCTTTCCTTCTTTCCTTCTTTCTTCTTTCCTGTTTTGCCTTATTTTTTTTTTCCTCCAAATGCCTTCTAATGTAATTACAAAGTTGCGCTTCCAAAAGCCTTTTGGCTGGCAAGAGGAGAGTACAGCCCATAATTCATTTATGAGATGCTCTGGGAGCCATGTAATTGCTTTGCACCGGCTGTGGGCTCCCGAGGGGCCTCTCCCTGCTCCCAGAGCCTCAGGCAGAAGGGAGAGCACACACTGGAGGGATGGGGTGGACCTGAGCCACAGATGGTGATGGTGCAAGTGCTGGAAGGATGAGAGAGCCAGCGGGAAAAACGCAGTGGCGACACATCGATGCTGTCCAGGTTCACATGGGGGATCTTTCACATTGCTGTCAGTGAGGTTTTTCAACCTGCCTTAATTTTCTGGTTTTTCAAGCCCGATTTTCATCTAAAATCAGGTAGAAGTATTGACTTTCCCATGTGGTTTGTTAAGGGGTTCATGCAAAGAGGCAGCAGAATGCAAGGGCTGGTTCCAGTGAGGAACAATTTGATTATTCATCTTGCTGGCATTTTTGGTTTCATTTCCAGGATTTGATGCAACACGTTTTCCTTTCTTGCAGTATGTGGAGGTTTTGGGGGCTTCTTTCTTTTTTATTTTCCTTTCTTTTTTCTTTCTCTGAAAAACCACACCTCTAAAGCGAAAGTTACTCTTCTTTATTCCCTTAAGCTTGAATTCGATAAACTTTTGTGATTTATTTGTTCAAGGCCAGGTTGGATGGGGCCCCGGGCTGCCTGGTCTGGTATTAAATGGGGAGGTTGGTGGCCCTGCATGTGGCAGTGGGGTTGGAGATTCATGATTCTTGAGGTCCCTTCCAACCCTGGCCATTCTGTGATTCTGTGATTTAATTTTTAAGAGGTTTCAGCCAAGTCATACTATTGGAATACTCATAGGGAGAAAAAATAGAATAAGCTGTGATCAGATGGGTGACCCTGCTCTGCTACATAACTCCATTTTGGAAGAGGAAACATGGAAAAACTTGCAAAGGGAATCATATATGGGAAGTGCTCAGAGAGTCGTGGAATCATTAAGGCAGGAGAAGACCTCTGAGATCATGCAGTCCAACCACCAACCCATCCCCACCATACCCACTGACCACGTCCCTCAATGCCACATCTCTATGGTTCTTAAACACCTCCAATTAGTCTTCAAATATTTTACAGCCACTTTTCTGTGTGTGTGTGTGTGTGTGTTATCAGAGCCCTTGGCCCAGCTGTTACAACAGACGCTCAGTGTTTACATCAGCTCCAGGTTTTGTTTGAGATTAGATTTGTTCAAATAACATGACGGCATGCCTGACTTCCAGCTCTATGCCTGGGGAGGAGGACAGAGTCTGGCCACCTCCTGTGTCGCTGCTGCATTGTTTGGGCTCTCCAGGATCACTTGGTGGCCTTGGTTACATTTCTGTCATCCTTTTGTCTGAACAACACAGCGTGGCCTGTGCTGAGACATGGGTCAGGAGAAGCCCAGCTCCTTCCCCAACACTGGCTGCTCTCCATCTGCCTGTTGTATGCATATTTGGACTATCCAGGCGGTTCTTCCCCACCATGAAACCCTTAGCTGAGTGAATGAAATTCCTTGGGAAGATGTAGGTTAATCATCCCATAGGAAGCTGAGTGCTTTTTTGGTCAATCACTTTAAATAGCCACATTGTAATCACTGGTTCCTGATGGAGAATCACAACGCACATCCCACTCCTGACAACTAACAGCAGTACAGGGCACACCAAGAGACAGTGATGCTCTGCTCTAGCTTTAACCAGACTTGCTCATGTGAGCTTGCTAAATATGTTCCTAGGGTGTTTCCAAAAGGATGTTTTTTCCCCCTATTGTAACTGATGGTGGTTTTCTCTTTCTTCCCAGGCATTTTTCTGCTTTGCTCTGGCCTTCTGTGGGATGATACCAGCTCTCTGCTGGAGATACATGCACAGCACAGAGGTAAACACTCTTTGCAGGAGATGCCAGGAGACGTTCTTCACAGGTTTTGCAGTGATTTCTACCCTAAAAGGGGCAGCTGGTGGTAATTAAGCCACCCTCATCAAGGTCTATAGGCTGCATGTTGTGTTACATCCATCCTTTGCAAGAGAAGGGCTGCCTTTCCCTGTGGGGTATCTAGAGGGAGAGGGGAACGTGGAATGTTTGCTGTACAAACCTTTGAACAGGGCAAATGTCCAGGTAAGACAAGATATGAGACTTGCTTTAAGTGGTTTTGGGAGGTTGCTTTTGAAAAATGAAGCTGCTTGACTCTTGAAGTTATGATTTTCTGAAACGCTGCAGAGCATCAACTCCAGTTCTGGTTAATGTCAGCTGGGAGCCTCTGCTCAAAGGCTGCAGTGGGTTGTGGCCACCTCTAGCTCTGCTGACTTCCAGGGCAACCACCCAGGAGCTGTGTTTACAACTTAGCTTTCTCCATGCTAACGCTTTGTGGCTTAGGGCTGACCGCTTGTTTCTTGCCCTTTGCCAGTGATTCCCTTGGCACATTTTTTTTTTTTCCCCTCTATCAGTTTGTCCAGCTACTTTGCAAACATGGGGTGGATATGGATGGTCCAGTAGCGTTTTTGCTTCAAATCTTTATCTAGCTGTTTGGTTTTTTTCAAGTGCTTTGTCCATAAGTGCTTCCACATGTTATGGTTACTTTCAGTACTTGGTTTTTGGTACTGTCTGAAACAAAACAGAAATAGTTTTTCCTAGGCAAGATGAGAGTTTTTTGTTCAGCGTCTACTTTCCAGATAAGGAAAGCCAGCAGTGTTTCTGACAACAGAAAAATTAAAATGCTGTTGGAGATCCTCCTGGGTTTCTCTTTTTGCAAAGATGAAAACTAAGACAGGAGCTGGAAATGAGGAAAGATTTAATTAGGAGTATCACTTACAAAATGCTTAGAAATCTGGTTTTGCTTGAAAAAACTTGTCTCTCTGGCAAGGAAGGAACGCAGATACGAGTGTGTCCCAATCCTGGTTTCCTTGCCCACAAAACCGCAGCAGATTCTTGCTGTGTGTTAATCCTCTTGATTAAAAAACACCTGAATTCCCTTTATAGAGCAAACCCTTCTTACTGAAAATCATCTGCAATGGAGAAGTCCCATGTTCAGCTGAAGAATGATTTTGGCAGTAGAAAGCAAGGTGCCCTGCTTGCCTTTGGCTTCTTTAGAGACCAGTTGTTTACATTGCTTCTTACAGAGAAGCTATGCAGGACAGGAGAAAAAGACAACTTGTCTGTAAATAGTCCATTTTCTCAGACTTGGACACTGTAAACAAAACATGAATGTTTCTCATTTTCCAATCTCTGCTGTTCTTCTGACTTCCTGTAGCTCCTGTCCTTTCAGAGATCTGTCATGTCTTTTTTACTTTCAAGTTACCTGCATCCCAGACAGACTCGATGTCACCAGTCTTTGTAAAACAACTTCTACCAGACATGTGAAAAACAAGAATCTGAGATTTATTGTGCTTTACCCTGGAAGTCTGAATCCTCCACTCGGTATTGTGATTATCCCTCGCTCTATGGGTCTGTCCACATGGCCAATAACTCGGTTTTATGCCCTCTTCTGTACCATCTTCTTTGTGTCCATCTGTCTGCATAAATTCAGAGAAGTTAACGTTGAGAAAATAACTTACTCCTTCCCAGTGCATGCTTGTCTGGGGGGTTCTGCAAAGAGAATGGTGGACAAAATGGGGGAAGGATAACTAAGAGCAACACCTCAGATCCTCCACCTGTCTCTCTGGCAATGCAACTTGAGTTCTATGAGATCAGTGGTGATCAGCAGTAATTAGCCTGCTGACAAACTCCTTTTGCTGTCTCCTGGTGGGAGAGTGCCACTAATCTGTTAGAGGAGTGACATCAGTGACAGCCAATGAGAGAATGACACGTGAAGAAGGGTAGCAAAGATGACCTCACTTTGAACAGCTGTGACAACCACCAACAGGATGGGGTTTTCTGATGGTTTCCAGCCACGTTAGGAAGTCTTGGTTCTTGAAGCCAAGGAGCTGAGTCTTCTTTTCCAAGAAAGAAGTTATTTTGAAGGCAACTCCTTTCCCGTAAACCACTGCCCAGCACAGCCTGGTGCAGCTGGGACCTGGAGAAGGATGTAGGTTTATGCCATAGCTGGCACAGCTCACTGGGCGGCTGCCTCCTCCTGCAGACCTGCCAGCTCTCCTCTCTTCGTGCATTAACTGCTGCTGGAGAAACCTGCCTGCAGAGGCTAGAGAGAAGAGCTGGAAATGGTCTCAAACTAGAACAGGGGAGGTTTAGATTGGATATAAGAAAAAAAATGCTTTACAATGAGGATGGTGAGGTACTGGCACAGGTTGCCCAGAGAGATGGTAGGAGCTCTGTCTCTGGAGACATTCAAGGTCAGGTTGGATGGGGCTCTGAGCACCTGATCTGGTGTAAGTGTCCCTGTTTATTGCAGGGAAGTTGGACCAGATGGCCTTTAAGGGTCCCTTTCAACTCAAACCATTCTATGATTCCTGAGCTTTCTGAGTGCTCTATTATAGCTGAGAAGGGATTTGGGTATTCCTGGTAACAAACACAAAACAGATTTGGGGGGCTCGTTTCTGGGCTTTGCTGAGGGAAAGGCTCAGGGATCTGCTGTGTCACATTTTGGTTTTTCTCTGCAGCAGTGTAGGGAATGCTCCCAGCAGCCTCTTGAGCCCACTGGGATGGGAGGATGAATCAGCAGAAATAGAACTGCTGAAGGCTGTTCTGCATCACAAGGTGCCTCTTAATTACATAGATTTGATAGAAAGTAAATGTTAGCTTAAAAGCAAGTAAATTATGATTTACCTCCTTGTGCTGGGAGACACTTGAAGCCAAGCAATGGTGCAGTGGTGGTGCCAAGCTTCTCCTGGGTTGGACTAGAGGAACAGTTCCCTTTGCCGTGAATGCCAGGAAAAATAAAAAGAGGAACTGCTGACGTACCCAAAGCCTCACAGCAGGTGATGATTTGAGCTGCTGCTCCATGTCCCCTTCATCCTGCTTGGGCTGTCAGTGTGCATCTGTTGGGTATCTGCCCGCTCTTCTGGTGTGCACACCTGATTTTCCCATGCCCTTTGGATGTAGGGGTTGCTTGGCTTTGCTTTGCTTTATGCTGGGGCTAGCTTCTATAGAGTCCAATACAAGATGATGGCCCCACATAAGGCAATGCTTAAGTACAAGCTTATATCACAGTGATTTTAATGGGACTTAAATGCAAGCTGGAGGTGGGTTCAGTACTTTATGAAACCGGAATCAGAGCACACTGGCTGGTTCCTTTTTGATGCAGCAGGGCTGTGATACAATTGCAGCCACTTGCAGAGGTCTTTCAAGGGCCTTTGCAAAAAGTGGGGATTTGGCTGTTAAAACAACAGAAATAGTCTGATGTCTTCCTCGGTCCTGGTGTTATTCACACTACCAGGCACAACTGCTCTAAAGTAAGCAGAGCTTTTTCCTTTCTCAGAAATATGGGGAGAGAGAGAAAAAAAAAAAAAAAAAGGAAAAGGGAAGGGAAAGCCCTTCCCCCCCTTCCCTAAATATCATGCAGCTCTCCCATGTTTGTGTTCCCATCACGTAGGAGACAGTACGCCCCTTTGTCTGACGTACTGCTGAGCCACTCATGCTTCATTATTTATTGTTGCCCCAGCTCTGAACCCGTGGCCCCTTTTCTGCTTTTCTCACTGCAGAGCTGCAGCTGCTGCCTCCAGCAGCACCAGTCAGTGGTCCCCATCGCCCCAGTATGGGATGATGCTTCCAGGCTCACATGACCTTGGTGCTTGTTGCCCAGAGAGGTGGTGGGTGTTCTGTCCCTGGAGACACCCAAGGTCAGGTTGGATGGGGCTCTGAGCATCTGATCTAGTGTAGGTGTCCTTGTTCATTGCAGGGGAGTTGGACCAGATGGCCTTCAAAGGTCTCTTCCAACTCAAATGATTCTATGGGTGATGGTGCTCACCTGGAATCAGATCTGTTGCTGATGCAACTTTCCTTTTTTTTTTTTTTTTTTTTTTCTTTTTTCTTTTTTTTCAATCTGAGAGCAGTTTTGGTGTTTTTGTATGATGAAGCAGTCTTGAATGATGCCATTTCACATGCTGCAGGTGAGAGATGGCTTGACCACAAAACTGAGAGGCTCATAAATGGTTGGATCTGAGTGGTGGCAGCCGTGAGTGCCCTTGCCAGCATTGTGGTTCAGCAATTCTGTTACAAAATATTGTGAACTGAAATACTTAGCTATAAAAAAAAAAAAAAAAAAAAAGACAATAAAGAAACAGGAGACCTCGGCACACTGAGACTGGTATCTATGACAAGAGGTGTAATATCAGGTATGGAGAATTAAGGAGAAAGAATCCTTAGGTGTAGCAGCCAGCCAGCCAGACTTCTGCTGAATTTTTGCTGTTGGTTTGGGGTGTGGAGATGAGAAATGAGGTTTGCTTAACAGCAGCTGAAAGGAGAAATTCAAGGTCAGGCCAGACACAGCTCTCAGCAGCCTGATTGAGCTGCAGGTGTCCCTTTTCATTGCAGGGGAGTTGGGCCAGGTGTCCTTTAGATGTCCCTTCTAACTCAAATGATTCTGTGTGCATCAGTGTACGTACTTAAATGCATATGTCTGACCTGCTTGGCAGGCAGGGTGCAAGCTCATGCACTGGAGATTGGTGTGGTTTGGTGCTCCCCTGCCTCCAGGCAGCATTCCCCCCCCACAGAAGCAGAGCTGTGCCCCTGCTCTGGAAAGCAGTGAGTCACCCACTCCAGAGCTGGCAGCTGCTGAGCGCTTTGGCTGCCAGTGCTGCTGCTCTGAGCTGGGCTCTGCCCCTGGAGGAGCTCTGCCTGCATCTGTGTTTCGGGAAAGCAGTGCTGAGATGGGAGGGGAGCAGTGAAGCAGGTCAGCATTTTCATCAGCTCCTTGTGCAAACCATTTACAGCAGCAGAAGGTGCTGGAATTGGAGAGAAATGGCTTAGCAAAGTGTTGCCGCTGGGGGCTTTATGGTTTCACAGCAGCTTTTCTTTCCCCCTCTATTTGCATGTGCTGTCAGTGATGAACAAAAAAGACTCTTGCTGTCCCGAAACTGGTAAGAGGGGGAAAGTGCATGAGTTATTTAAATAAATATTTGTATGTGTGTGTGTGTGTATATACACATACATACATATGTATATATAATATAAGGTACACACACATACATATACATATCAGATGAAAACCACTTAGCCTGTAGGATTCATTTGGGTCTCCCTGCTCTTACTCCATCAGCAGTCTCCAGTGACCTCCAGCATCCGAGGGGAGCAGCGTCTCCTGATGTCACCCATCTGGAGGCGGGAGCTCCGAGCTGCTCTGCTCTGCTTTGCATGCTGGCTGTGTTTCTGCAGCTGTGAGCTCTGGGCTGGAGGAAGCCCGATGCGGGGGCGAGGAAGGGAGCTGAAATGCTGTTAGGGAAGCATAAAGCTTCAACTTGCAATGACTGGGTTTTCATGCTGGAACAAGGAATGGTGTAGAGAGTGACAACCACTTTATTCCAGTTTCGCATCTTAAAACACTGCCTTACTGACACCAAGTGCAACCCTCTCAGCAGCAGTGAACAGATAGGAAAGAACACGAGTGGTTTAGACAGACTGAATGCCTTCCTGAAATCATAAATTCTGCTTCTTTAGGGAGTATAGAGGATATAGAGCGTAATAAACAGTCTCAAAATTCCTTCATTCTTTTACTCTAAGTGAAAAATGCTGCTCTATTAAGTTGCTTGATGTCAGCAGCATCAATCTCAGTGATTTTCCATTAGTTGCATCTGCAAACCTATCTCTATCACCCCTAAATGAATGTTTCATTAAGGTATGCAGACAGACACGGGAGAGAGCAATTATTTGACTAATTTAGAGTTGGAATATTTTGCCAAGCTTCTTCTGGGAAAATAATTACTCTAAGGTGTGACCTTCTTAACACTTAACCTGGAGATTTTTCTCAAGCCCAGCTGATGCTCCATCCTCAGCTCTCACTGCTTTGTTTGTTTTCTAACAGATGAGCACTAGAAGTGCATTTTCCTTCCAAGGGATATCTTTGTGCAGAAATACTCCTAGAATCATGGAATCTTTTGTATAGGAAGGGACCATTAAAGGCTAACTGGTCCAACTCCCCTGCAATGAACAGGGACACCTACACTAGATCAGGTGCTCAGAGCCATGTTCAGCCTGACCTTGAACATCTCCAGGGATGGGGCTTCCACCATATGTTTGGACAGCCTGTGCCAGTGCCTCACTGCCCTTACTGTAAAAAAAAACTTCTTCCTTATGTTTGGTCTAAACTTCTCCTCTTTCAGTTTTAGACCATTTCCCATTGTCCTGTAGCAACAGATCCTGCCAAAGAGTGTCCCCTTCTTTCTTTCAGTACCTACTTTAGATAATGAAAGGCTGCTCTCAGGTCTCCCCAGAGCCTTCTCTTTTCCAGCCTAGCTCTCAGCCTGTCCTCGCAGGGGAGGTTCTGCATGGATTGACCCCTGAGGGTATAGCACTTGTCACCAATCTCCATCCAGACATTGAGCCACTGACCTCCTCCAGCAACAGATCACAGCGTTCATTGTAAGCATCTTTGAATCATGCAGTAAGTCGTCAGTGCTTCATCAGGAAGAGGTAAACCTATGTGACCAGAGTGGTGAAAATGTGGGATGGAAGTATAGGACCTCTGTAGGGGAAGCCCAGACAGGCTTTCTTTTCTCTAGCTGTCTTTGCTGGTTATGTAGCTGCTGAGTTATAAAGGGATGAGGCACAGCTGTGGCTTTCTTAAAGGGCTTTATGAACAGTATCAGCGCAACCACTCAAAAAGCATCCGGTTGCCTAATTGGGAGAGAAAGCACCCTGATTAGTTTTTTTTTTTTCTCCAACACCTGCTGCAAGAAAAAAGGATTATTTTGGGGTGGTGGAATGAAAACTGAGTGTGTGATAGGAATTTATGGCAATTTGAAATGAAGCAGTGAAGTACTCTTCACTATTCTGTGCTCCTGCTCGCAGGAAAGTTGAGGGATGAATTTGTGTGAACAAAAAACAAACACTGTCACAAATTAGGCAGTGTCATGAACCCATCGGGTGACTTTGCCTGACACTTTCAGTTTTATTTTTTCCCATCGTTAGACATGCATGAGGCTATGTGCCATTTTGGTCTGGGTAGAGGCTGCTGTATGTGATGGCTGAGCTCTGAGCACAAACATAACCCCATCTTGGGCAGGCAGGTTGGTGAGATGGTCAAGGAGGGAAGATTTAGGTTGGATGTCAGGGGGAAGTTCTTTACTATGAGAGTGGTGAGGTGCTGGAACAGGTTGCCCAGAGAGGTTGTGGATGGCCCATCCCTAGAGGTGGTCAAGGCCAGGTTGGATGGGGTCCTGGGCAACCTGGTCTAGTATTAAATGGGGAAGCTGGTGGCCCTGCATGTAGAGTGGGCGTTGGAGCTTGATGATCCTTGAGGTCCCTTTCAATCCAAGCCATTCCATTATAGGGTTACTTATTACTGCAGCCTTTGGCTGTCCTCCTGTTATACCTCCTATGCTCTTTGGCGTGGTCCCCTGCATGGAAGGAAACAGCAATGATAAATGTGGGGATTTAGGTCTTGACACCTACCATTGCAATACTTAAACTAGAAAGCTCTCTGCAGTAATCTGTGAAAACCAACTGCCACTTTGTCTTAAGGCAGCTACTTTCCCCTCCAAAATCAAATAATTCTGGCAAAACTAATCAAGATGATGTGGAGAAATTACAGTCAATTCACTCTTTATTTGAAAAGAGGAAAAAAAAAAGAAAAAGAAAGCAGGCTTTGTTGTTGGATATTTGGTGCATTACTGCAATCTGAATTGTGTATTCAGAGGAAACAAATGCTAGATGCAATTGCTGGATAGAAGAACTGAGAAGGACTAATCAGCAGACTGTACTCTCGGGCTTGCCCAAACGCATGTTCTAAAAGGAAATTGTTGCTATAAAATAATTTCCATTTAATCCTTTGTGGTTTTGCTTCTTGGAGGCTACTTGGGAAAATGAAAAATCAGTACCTAAAGAAGAACACAGCTCAGAAGTAAGCTTAGGAACACTGTGTAATCGAAGTCTTCAATAGCCATGATGTGTCTGGAGATTATTTTCTCCTCACTGATATCACCATGACTGTGGTTGAGAAGGCTGTGAAGTGGTGCCTGCCTGTGGCTCTTTCCTTGCTGTTTCCCATGGTTGGAAAACATTTCTGCTATAGGTTTGTTGTGTGAATCTCATTCATTCAACCTTTTCCATCACCTGCCTTTCTTCTAACGGCCTCAGTCAAAATGCTTGATGTGATGTCACTGCAGGATATCTAAAATAAGTCTCTTTGGAAATGGGTTCTTTCTGATTGCGTTCAGTGAAGTACTGCCTGCAGCTGCACTGCTCACTGTACTTACAATGCAGCATGGAGCATATGCTATTTGCAGCAGAATATTTTGAATCATAGGATGGTTTGGGTTGGAAGGGACCTTGTATGATCTTCCTTCCACCAGATCAGGCTGCTCACGGCCTTAAGTGCTTCCAGGGATGGGGCATCCACAGTTTATCTGGGCAGCTGGTGCCTCACCACCCTCTGAATAAAGGATTTTGTCTCTATATTTAACCTAAGACTCCTCTCTCTTAGTTTAAAGCCATTATCCTTGCCCCATCATTACTCTGCCTTTCAGGTTCAGTTCTTCCCCAGTTTCCAGCAGGCTGTTTCAGGTACTGGAAGGACTATGGGTAATGAGGGGTATAAAAGTAACAACACCACAAGAGTAGGATGAAAAATTATCCCTTTTTTCATTATTCTTAACTCAATTCTTCAGTGGAAGTAAGCTTTTTTTACTGAATTAATTTACTTAATTGCTGCTGCTGGGAAGCTGCTTTATGGCATACCTGAAGTTAGGAAAGTTTGAATGTTTTGCTTTTTATTGGGGTTTAAGTTTTTCCTAGAGGGAGGATGGTATGCACATCCACACTGGAATGCTGAGAGGTGGCCTTGCTCCAGGAACCCTTGTTCCACCCCATTCCCTCTGTCCTGTGGATCGATCCTCTGCTCTGGGAGCCAAGTGTTGCCTTCAGCCAATTCAGATCAATATGGGCAGGGAAGCAAGGGGAAATGAAAGGAAGAAATGAATCTTTTTTTTTTTTTTTCCTGGCGCTAAAAGCAATTGTCATATTTTTCCATTGAAAGCTGAGCAGGAGTTGGCTGGGATTTGTCAAGCTGCAAGTTCTCATAGTTTTAGTAAATATTTAGGATCTGATTCACCACTGAGTCACTCCGTTACTTTTTGGGCTTAATTCAGAGGAACTCTTCCATCATTGCTGTCCACCAGAGATGCTTTCACCTTTATGTTTTGGCAAGATGGCAGAGACTTGTCTTTATAATCTCTTTTCAGAACAAGATGATGTTGTCACCTCTCCCTGGCAGGACACGGAGGGACATGGAGGCACATATGTCACAGGCACTTATGTTTCTGTATTTCTTTGACAGTACATCTAAAACTGGCCAAAAGCTTCAGTCAAAAGCCAATTGGGCAGCTGCTGTGCTCATCTTGGTGCACAGTACAGATATTTGCCTCTGTTGCAGGTGGAGGACAGTATGCTGGATGTATACGACCTCGTGTATGAGGAGGTGAGGAGGAATGGCTCTAGCTCCAAGAGGCACGAGCTGACTCTCATCCATGAAATAGTAAGTTATCTTCCAGACTTCACAGAAGCCTTTTTCTGGAGAATCTGCCCTTTGATTCCAACAGGCTCTGCTTTGCCAGTGCTATAGTACTGCTTTCCTCTGGAACCAGCCTTTTGCCAAGTCCATATGCAGCATGAGAGCAGCCATATACACCTTCCTAGCATCTTCAGTCAAGTATAGAGAGGGTGAGAATTCTATATAATCCAACAGAGCTACTTAGTTTGATTACTTCTGTCTACCTTTGAGCCTGTTGCTAGCAAAGAATAGAGGGCTCTGTGCACCTGATCTAGTTGTAGGTGTCCCTGTTCATTGCAGGGGAGTTGGACCAGATGACCTCTAAGGGTCCCTTCCAATTCAGATGATTCTGTGATAATGTGAGCTCTTGCAGTGCTGTAAATTTGCTAGCTGTCTTGCAAACTCAATGACCTGGGATGCACAGCATGGTAGGCACCTGCTTAGTTTAGCCACTGTAATTGATGGTGAAATAATCCTTGCCTAGTGTTGTGTGTTTAGCTTCCATCACTGTGACTACCTTTTGCCTGCCTGCTTTGCTCCTCACAGCCCCGTTTACCACCCTGCCCTCTCTTGCAGTTCCTGTGCTGTGGGAAGCACTCCCCTCTTGGAGACACAGCTGCTGTCGAGCACAAGATGTGCCATCCTGGCACAGAGCAGACTGCTGGACGGGTAAGTTGCTTCTCTGTTGCTTTTCTCGAGCCTCCTCATCTTCTGCATGTGTGGAGGTTGTGTGATAACACAGACGTGGGTCTGATGGAAAAACACCATTGAATTCGTCACGTGGTTCTGGTCTCTAAGGCTTAACACGTGTTCTGCTAACAGCAAATGTTGAAAGAGCACACGATGACTGTAATTCCTTTTCCCAAGGGCATTAAGCAGGTATTAAAAATTTAAATGAGAAACTTATAAAGCAGGATTATGTTGTCCAGCAGTAGTTTCATCAAGCAGACTTTATACTTGGTTGCAAAATGCCAATGAAGCACTGAAGAGCCCTCCAGTATTAGACTGTGTGTGCTGTTACTGAAGTTGTAACATAGACTTCATAGTCTGAGTAAATCTCTTGTATGCTTTTTCCCCACTGGAATAACAAAATTAGCTTCAGAACGTGAGTTGTCCCTAGGAAAAACAAATGGTGTTGCAACAGACAGCTATGTGGAAATATTGCTGCTGTGTCTTGATGGAGGAAATTGTGCCAGAGGAGGTTCAAGTTTTATATTAAGAAAAATTTCTTCTCAGAAAGAGTGATGAGGCATTTGTACAGGCTGCCCCTGAAGGGAGGGGAGTCACTGTGCCTAGAGGTATTCAGGAACTGTGGAGATGTGGTCTTGAGTGACATTGTTTATTGAGCGCTACTAGTGGTAGGTGAATGGTTGGACTAGATGATCTTAGAAGTCTTCTCCAACCTTAATGATATGATGATTCTATGCTAAGCAGTAACACAACCTTTTGATGCACCAGTATGTGTTAACCCATGGTTTCCAGCTGCCTCCTGGAAAATTCAGCACCAAAGTGAAGTAGACCTCAGCTCAAATAGCAGGAAGAAAGAGTAAAGCAGCCCTGGGCACTGTGCCTTTGGTCAGCCTCACTAATGGTTTGCACTTGGTTGGAGGGAACCACGGCATTTGGTTGCTGCAATGCATTCACTCATGTGCTGATTCTGTGGGGCCATAAGCCCTTTTACCTTGTTCTACAAAGTCAAGGGCAGGTTTTGTGCATTCTTGAAATGACTCTTGGCTATCGCCACTGGATTTCAGTGGGTTTGCCAGAGTGCTTAATGCTAATATGTCGTAATGCTGGTGGTACGCTCAATGCTGAGCTGTTAGTGTCTTTGGGGAACACGCAGCATTATGATATGCTCTGCTTTCCAGTCTTTTCACATCACCCCCTCCATTTCCCAGAGGAAGAAAATAACACTGTGCATGACCACACTAGCTGTGTGTACACACATCCTCTGCAGACTGAAATGCATCCTAGTAAGAAAATCATAAACGTATTGTAGTAACAGAAAATATACTGCAGGTGTTTGTCTTCCCACCTGAGCTGCTGCCACGCTGCAAGAGGTGTCTCTCTCCTTTCAGGATTGCCTACAAGAGATGCATGGCTTTCTGAAGAAGCACATGGGCTTTGTCTCCACACTCCTGGGCATCACCATCGGCTTCACGGTAGCTGTGCCTGTTCCTGTGTGCTCCTGGCCCCACAGGGGACTTGTATCCTAAATAAGTCCCAAGTACATGGAGGCTTGGGGGGTTTTGAACATGAGCACTGAAAAAATCAATGGTGATGGCCTCCACCACAGAAATTAGAAAATAAATAGGTTTTATCTTCAGTGGTATCTCTATGCTGCTATTAAGATGGGGAAAGTTCTCCTGACCAGCATGTATTTAGGGATTTGGATCCGCTTTAACACAATGAAGATTAGAAGACTTCTCAAGAAAACCCAGAGGATCGCTTTGTGTGTGTGTGTGTGTGTGTGTGTGTGTGTGTGTGTTTCATATTGCTAGTAGTAAGCTAGGAAAGCTATCAGGCAATGTTATAGGTACATTTCTACTTACATGGAATTACGTACATGCACACAGAGCTTTAGCATTAAGGCTTTATTGGATCTTAGCACTGCTGAGCTCTTGCTCAGAAAATCCTCAGGACATATAGCTGATGCATAATGGAAAGTCGTATACGAATATCTGGTGTTGCTTTCTAATTATCCTTTGGTGTAGGAGAAATTTTGCTTAAGCTATATCCACACTCAAGTTTTTTATTTTTCTATTTGTGTGCTTGTATTATACCATATTTTCCCCCACGACTTGATGTTATAGCTAGATAATGTAGGAAAGCCTTTGAAGTGTGCACTAAAGGAAATCCCACCATGAGAGTGGCCATTGTGACAGCAGGATGCGGAGCAAAGTGAGCCAGCTGGGACCACGGCTCTGATGTCCCCATCCCTGTGGCAGACGTGTCCCCACCGATATGCACAATGAGGCCAACACAGAGCATGTTGTTGCAGCCCTTCTTACACCTCCTGCAACATCCTCACTTTGATAAGCTGCCTGTGCAAATCCTGAGACGTGATCAGATGCAGCACCGTGTACTCATCGGAAAAGCGCGGTACAAAGGAAGCGTGCTGTCTTCTGCACTTGCGCTGTGCGTGTGTTGGGGGCTTATTTTTGTTGTTTTTTTATGTCATTCCAAACAATGCATGAGGTTTTTTTTTTCCTCTCTCTGTTATGTACACAAAGGGCTATTATGAGTTTGTTTGCATGGAGGGTCGTTTTGAGGAAGGAGTTTGAAGTCTGAGTTTCCTGGCTTCTTCTCGCTTTTTAGATATTTTTAGGATCGAGCTTGAGCCGTGCTGTGCTAATTCCAATCAGATGCTTTCACCACATGAGTTTTTCTTTTTTTTTTCTTCTATCCCATGTTGGAATTGATATTTACTCTTTTAGTGGAAAAGAGCTCCCTCAAGAACAGTCTGACGCTTTCATATGTAACAAATTGAGAAGTGCCAATGGAACCAGCAGGCAACACTTAAGATCAGTTATTCGCACAGCTGGAGCATCCTCCTCCATTCAGCATTTAATTGTTTGCCCATCTTGTCTATTTCCTTTCAGGTTTATGGGATGGTTCTGACTTCTTTCAACTGGTTCTCCATCCACTTCAGCGACAACTTGGATCGGAAAGGCAAATACACCTTGCAAGGAAGGTAGAAGCCTGTCTCCCAGGCTTCCCTACCAGGCAGACCCAGCTCTCAGTGTAGGTTGATGCCTGGAGTCCTCCACCAAACCTCTGGAAAGGTGTTGTATTTCTCACCTGTGTGCATTTCCAAGCTGCACCATCTGGGTGGAACTCTGCAGAACAGCAGTCCTCAATCTTCACTGAGAATGGATGAGGACTGAGATGCACCTGGGCTTGGAGATGCAGGTTTCCTCCTTGAGAGAAGGATGGTGTGTAGCACAAGGAGAATACACGCAGCCCCCTAGGACTTAACCAGAAGAATGCCCATCCAAAATCATAGCATTAAACCAAACTTCTGAGCTGTCACATGAGAAGTTTCCTGTGACCCCAAAAGATGTGACTTCCCTAAGGGCAAGAGCTTCAGACTGCAGCATGGGACAGATCTTGGTAAATATGTGCACACTGGGTGTGGTATTGAAAAACAGGGAGCTTTGCTCTCCTACCTGGGACAGTGTTCATTGTTGCCTCCTGGGTTTCAGCTTTTAGACCACCCCGGAGTATGTCAGCACCCAGCCACCACTACTGGTTGTTTTTTTTTTTTTCTCTATCAAACTGTTGCTGGAATTCTTTGTATAAATTAAGAAAGAAAAAAAAATCAGAAAGCAGTGTGTGAGTTTTGAAACAGCCCAGCAGGATAAGGACACGTCCCTCTGCATCTCCCTTTTTCGAGTTTTTGAAATTCTTAGGATTAGATCAGCCTTCTGGATGCTGCACTGATTTCACATGGACTCCTTCAACACACTGCCTCCATTCTGTCTCTTTTTGGCTTCTCTAACCTACCATGCTGCTGTGAAATACAAAAGGACTTTGATATTGAACATATGGGGCTTGTGTTTAAATTAAGGAGAAATGGACTGATCTCCAGCCACGTACGACACAATGTCCACTTCCTCTTCTCTCCTCCTTATCAACAATAAGGAGGAATTTGAAAAGCCTCAGCCAGCTGAACATCTCAGGCGAGCTGAAATGATGGCTTCCTGGTGTGCTTTGCCCTCATTGCAAGGAGGCAGAACCACTTCTAAGCTGAAAGCCATCACAGCAATAGATTTAGTTCCTGCTGGAAAATCTGCTGAGCTACAGCAATGGAAAATATCTCTTAGAGCAGCTTTCACCTCCCTCCTTCATTGTGGCTTTTACCTGTTGAGAACAGTAAGTGGCAAGTGAGATTGTCTCAGCTTCCGGAGATGATCTCATCGAGATGAAAGAGGAAAACCCCATGCTGATGTTCAGGACAGTTCCAGGCCCTGCATGTGGACTGTGTGAAAACAGCATTACAGCCTGCAGTATCTCCCCAGACCTGGTTAGCATTTGAACACAGTTGCAGATGTTTTGTATTGGAAAGAATGGCATTGAGGGAGGAAGAGCCAGGGCTCCTTGTCCCTCTCCACTGGCACAAGCAGAGCTTCATTAGAGGCTTTGGAGTCAATATTGAGTCCAAAGCACTGTGGAGCATCACCCAGCTCTCTCCTGGCAGTCACCAGCCCCGTTCAAGCTGTTTCAAGTTTAGTGGTGATATGCTTACCATGCAGCTGCACCTGCAAATATATCCACTTACTGGTGGTGGGAAGAGATTTGGAGATATGTATATAGGTGTTCTTTAGTACATCACCCTCCACAGAGACAGTCTCCACTGCAAGTTCTGGCTGTCATTGTCAAGTCTACTGCTGTTGTCATTCCTCGGGCCAGTTAGCAGCACACAGGACTCCTGGTGTCCTCAATAAAAACCAATCTCTTGCTGAAAGTTATCATTCCTTCTCTTCTGCAATACACAGCGCTGGGCTGTTCGCAATGGACTGCCCTCAGTGAGCCTTGTGGTGCTGCGTGTTCCCCATGCAGCTGCATGTGCCTTAGGACTCAGGCTGCTTCTTCCCAACAAGGTAAGCTGGAAGTCCCTCTCCTTCCACTGCTCTATAGCCACAGCTGGGGTTTGGATTTTTTGTTTTTCTTATAAAATATCCAAACAAGTTATAATCCCCCCCTACAAACACTTGTTCTATATACCATGCTCTTTGATCCCATCTCACAGCCTGCAGCCCTCATCTGCCTCCTCTTACCCAACCATGGAGGAGGGATAGTAATGGGGACAGAGGGGTCAAAGCCTTCCATATGACTCACGTATGCCTGTAGACAGCTGGCCATGCTTTCTAAGGCCACTGCTTGCTTATATTAAGCAGTAGGTGCAGCTTTTTGCTTTCACTTCTCAAGCAGCACTACTAGCAAGGAGAAAAAGGCCTCACACAGCAGCTGAGGATGCATGGGGCTTCTGCACAGCAGAAGTAAAAGACCAAGAATTCGGAGCCCTTGTGCAAGCCTAGGTCAGGCAGTTAAGCTGAGCCTGAAAAGGAAGTTGATTGCGGGGACAGTGGGAATCTTTCAGACTTCAAATTGCTTTGCTATATCCTGTCCCCCAGACAATGCTGGCTGCCGCCAAATTATAACTTCCCCTTTGCTGTGCAATCTGAATTCAAACCCTGAGCTTGTGCTCCTTCTGAAGCCTTGTAACCTGGAAGCCTTGTAACCTGGCAAACTTGGGTGAGGCCTCAGCAGAGCCCAGATTCATTGCTAACTCTCACTGTTGACTTCCCTTAGGTTGCCTGTACCTTCCTAAGGCAAACTACCCCTCTTGCTCTCCTTAGCATCGCTAAGTACCTCTGTTGTTTAACCCTGAGGCACATCAGCTTGCTTATGGATGCATTGGTTTTCTTTTCAGCCGTGTTACCTTTGCACTGAGCTGTTGCAGCCTCTATTCACCTGCTGATGAATTATACATAGGTGGCACAGCAGCAGTTCCTCAGGCTGCTGAGCTGGGTTCTCGCCCTCCTGGCTATGCTGGAGAAGAAGAGGAAACGTCTGTGCTGAAATAGGAACCTGCTTGGGTTTGCTTTCTCCCTCCTATTCACAAGCCGTGGCTGTGGAAGCAGCACCTGCACCAAAACAACAATGTCTCCGGAAGCTGCTGCTGCCCTTCACCACTGCTCTCTTTCTCCTCTTTATGTAACCTGCCTGTCACCATAGATAACCCTGCTGTAAATATTTGAAGTGTCAGTCAGTGTGGAGGGAACCACAGCAGAAGTTAGTAGAGGCAGAAACTCAAGGTGAAGCTACCGGTCTCTGCTCACCCAGCAAGGGAATATGGGGATGCAAAGCAAAGATGGATGGGAAGCTCTCTGCCCTGCTCTCCCCACCAGGGCCAGCTCCACTCTTCCTCCACAGTGATGTCTCACTGTCTGGGAGCAGGAGGAGCATCACCAGGGCCTGATTTTTGGGTGGCCCTGTGTGGAGCCAGGAGATAGACTCAACAATCCCTAAGGATCCCTTCCAACTTGAGACGTTCTATGACTCTATATGCTTCAGTCCAGAGCTCATCTACCCAACACAGACCATAGATGGGGACCCTGTGGTGGATGAGGCTTTTCCCAGAGCCCAACTGGGATCTGTGAGGGGTGGAGCTGCTGGTTTTCCCCTGCAGAAGCTGTCAGGAAGGTGTGGGGCTGGGATGCTGCTCAGCCCTGTGTCTGCTCTGGGCCCTGTGAGTCACACCCATAGAGATTTTGCCAAAACTACAAGCATGACACTGACCTTTATAGCAACATCAAAAATAGGGAGAAGAAGAGGAGGAGAAGGGAGATAGACCAGCAGATGAAAGAAACACACAAAGCACCTCTGTTCTCTGCTACTTTACTCCACTCAAAAACGTGAAACAGTGAAAGCATGCTTAAATGGCTGCTCCTGGGGGTTGGGTTTTTTTAATTTGTTTTTTTCTCCTTTTTTTAACATCCCCAATAGGCATTTTCTTCATAGGTTTGCCCCCTGGGTAAGCAAACTGGCGTTAACAGCGTGTCTCACAGAGCACCTAAATTTAACCCATGCTACGAACGAGGGAATTCCCCAGCCCTGTGCACAGCACCTGCAGACCATCTGAGGATGTGACAAGCACAAATTTGCACAAATCAGTTCAGCTTACAGAGCAGCCTGCTTGTAAAGATCTGGTAAAGCTGCTGGGAGACTCTGAAATGCATTCCTGATACTTTGTAGACTTATACAGCATGGGGGAAAAGGCTGCATCTGATAGCATGTACCTGCTTGAGAAACACTCTGCGTTACCTTGACACTGTAATGTGTTGGTGTTTGTTTTGTTGGTTTGGTTTCTTTTTTCCCAGACCGAGGTCAAAGTTTTCAAGCGCACTCAGCTGAGCTGACAGGAAGTAAATAAATTGATGGAAGAGAGGGATATTTGGACAAAGTTTGAAATCCTTCCCCACTGCCAAGCTGTAGAGAGGTTTTGTCAGGGTGGGCAGGTGGGTGAACCTCATTTAGATCCCAGAGCTGGGTGTTGTAGGAGATGGGAGCTGTGACCCTCAAGCTGGAGCCATGGACAGCACGTGGCTCAGGCATGGGGATGCCCAGCAGTAGGAATGCATTAGCTCTGAGCCAGATTGTTTAGCATTTGGAGTGTATGAGAAGTTTTGTTCCTCATTTGCTACTTTCCGTAAGATAAGGCAGAAAGGAAACAGCTGTGATATCACTCTCCAAAAACCCCAAGCTTCCCATTGGTGGCTCCAGTGCCAGTTTGGTGGTAGTGATTGCAGTGGGGCTGCCAGCTTCTCAGCATGCAGACACTGATTTGAGTATCTTTCCTTCCTAACCCCAGCTCTGGCTGTGCTGCTGCTCAGGCCTTAACGGTTTGCAGGCAGTTCTTTCTCTTCCCTGCAGCAAACCCTGGGCAGAAAGCAAAGCATTGCTGTGTCATAGCAGGGGAACAAATTTGGGATCATTATCCTTTGTATCAGGATCCAGGCAGGATTACTCCTATAGCCAACGATTTGGTCTATCAGCTAGTGCATGAATACCTCTGTTAGGCTCCAGCTTCATTGGTAAGGCCAAATGAGTAAATGGGACTTAGAGACAAAGGATTTATGCATCCATGGTAAGCCCACAGTTGGGGATGTACTCAGTGCTAGTCACTGGGGAACTGGGCCAGCTTCTGTTCTGCCTCAGTCCTCACTGGGTGCACAGCAGGTGCAGAAGGCAAAGCAGGGTTCAGCAGGCACCAGGGATGCTGTCTGAACACCTGAATTTTTTTTTTTTTTTTTTTTTTTCTTTTAGACATTTAAGGTTTTGCTCTTGATCGGGCTCCTGTGTTCTGAATTCTGTTCTGACATTTTTGGTATCCCAGCCCTAAGAGAAGCAACTGTGCCTGCTGGATGCACAGCAGGGTGAGAGCAGGCTGTGTTTCTAGGGATGCACAGATGAACCAAAGTGGGGTTAGCCTAGAAGATGGGGAAACTTCCTCCTGATTCAGTGATGCTGCTTTTTGGCTTTTAAAATTGAACATGAGGGATACTAAAAATGTCAACACGTGTGACACAGATCTCAGAATTACAAAACCACCAAGGTTGGAAAAGGCCTTCAATCATCCAGTCCAACCATCCACCTATCACCAATAGTACTCATTAAACCATATCCCTCAACACAAAATCCAAATGTTCCTTGAACACCTCCAGCGTTCAAGGTTGTCCACCTTGTCGGTGACTCCACCATCTCCCTGGGCAGCCCCTCATCTCTTTGATGGTGAGCCCTGAAATACCCCTAGATGGGTGGGGAAAGGAGCAAAGCAAGCACGGTGAGTGCTTCCGCACAATTTGGGGGTGATCTTTTGGGTGGTAAGGCTGAAAGGAAGCATTGGGAACACGGCGGTGAGTTTTAATGTATGAGCAAGTGGGGAAAAGGAGGGGTGGGAGGGTGGGAAGGCTACAAGAGGGGAAACGAAGAACGGGGGAAGGGAGAGGGAAGGAAAAAAACATTCGAACGGAAAAAATGCTTTAGAGGGTGGGACCCAAAGGGACTCCGCCGCTCGGGAGGGGGCGGGCAGGGGGCGGCCCTTTCCTGCTCTCCCTCCCTCTCTCCCTCCCCGCCGCCGCCTAGCTTGGCCTCAGACTGGGAGCTGCCGCCGCCGAAGCCGACATGGGGGTAGAGGGCTGCACCAAGTGTATCAAATACCTGCTCTTCGTCTTCAACTTCATCTTCTGGGTGAGCCCCGGCGCGGTGGGGGCGGTTGGGCTGCGCGTTCTGCTAGAGCCGGGGTTTTTCCATTCCTTCTGCTCCCCCTTCCCCCACCAACCAGCCCCCATGTTGAGCTTTGCGCCCTGCTATCAGGGCTTTGGTCGGCGGGGCGCGGGGAACATGTATCCTTTGCTATTTTTTATGCGTGCAAACGCAGCTTTATTTATTTCTGTATTTATTTATACGGCA